TCCCCACATCAAATTCAAGAAGATGTGCGGAAAACCTCCGTTGACGCGGCGTCATCGAGAGAAAAGACTCGAAAGAGCCCGGGAGTGGATGAGTTGGACCACTGAATGAGAGAAAGTGGTGTTCAGCGATGAGAAGAAGTTCAATCTGGACGGTCCGGATGGATTTCACAAGTATTATCACGATCTACGGGAAGAGCCCCGATTCTACTCCAAGAGGCAAAGCGGGGGTGGCTCTGTCATGGTTTGGGGAGCCGTAAGTCGCCTTGGAACGTTCAAAATCATATTCATAGATACGATAATGTGTGCGGTAGACTACATCCGTGTCCTGGAGAATCATCTACTGCCCAACGCCTTGAGGTTTTTGGGCGGAGATTTCGTGTTTCAACAAGATTGTGCCGCCGTGCATACAGCGAAGGTAGTCAAGGATTGGTTTAGAGCCGAAGGAGTTCGCTGTTTAGGCTGGCCTGGGGAAAGTCCTGACTTGAATATCATCGAGAACCTATGGGGAGCATTGGTCAGACTTGTTTATCGAAATGAGAAGCAATACAGCTCCCGTCAAGAACTAAAGGATGCGATTCTTGCTTGTTGGGAACAAATTGGGGAAGAAGACTCAAAGCCACTGTACGATTCCCTCCCGAAGCGCATTTTTGAAGTCATCCAGGCAAAAGGGGGCTCCACCAAGTATTCGGAGCGAGAAATACCCAATAAAACAGCAATAAATCAACCTGTCGATGATTTCATTTTACGGCTCTTTTTACATTTTCTGAATTCTGGTGCATTTAGTACGACAATTCGAAGCGGTGTTCCCGTATACAGCAGCCGTTAAGTAAGAGGAATATTCAATGGTGGCCCAAGCTCTGTATCATGTGTCTACCTGGGAAAAATCGGGAATAATTGGGTGTCGATAAATTCGTGTTATGGACTGTAAATCATGATCAGTGATCAGTTGCATTAGAGCACATCCATAAAGATACGAAGACTCGGCTGCTCGGCTAGAACCGGACCCGACTTCTGACCAGTGCCTTTTTCGCGGTACCCTCCCAGAATGGAGTCGAGTCATGAAGGTTTGGGATAAAGAGAAAAACTTCCTTGCCGGTGTATCACACTTTAAAATCTTCACTGGGTGAAGACTATACTAGAGAGTTTATTTACATTTTGCACATTCTTTTACAGAGCAGAGTTTTTGAATCTATGGGGATGGATCCGACACGAATTTCCGTCAAACTTTCTCGCTCGTCTCGACCGGGTCGTACACCTTGTCCTTCCGTGATTCCGACGGACTCAAATATCTCCCGAGACACACGAATGCGGCAGCATTCAAGGAGATCAGGAAAACGGCAGCGAGGTTCGCGTACATGAACGACATCGGATGCTTTTGGATGAAGGGACCGATCGTGATCGGAGGGAGCATGGCCCCAATGCAGACCGAAACGATAATTGCCGACATGTACTCATGACATATGACGATGTATTTCAAAGCCCAGCCGCAAACGTTGCCGAAGAATGGACTTAGCGAGAAGGCGAAAACACCGGTCATCGACCAGATCACCATTTCAGTGAGGGGGAAAAGCGTGAGTGTTATCGCTGCGAGCATGAGGAGAATGTGATTGATGACGATCAGATAAATCGGTTCGAGCTTGATGGAGAGGATCGTGGAGAAAATACGGCTCACGGTGAAACTGCCCCAAAATACCGCAGCCAGATAGGCGGCCGAAGTTTTGGAGAAGCCGAGGTTGTCGACGACGTAAATAGTGCAAAGCGACGAGTAGGTCTGTTCCAGAGCAACCCCGAGCATGACGTAGCTACACATGAGTGAAACTATGAGAAACTCCACACGCTTCGACAGCTTCAGCCTCTTCGATTTCGCTTCGTCGTCGGTGGAGAAGTTTTCACTATTGACGAGATATGCTAATAGCATCAAAAAGGCAGAGAACACGAACGCGGCGCCGAAGTATCCGTAGGGAAAGTGAACTCTCGAAGGAATGAACTCATCCAGATGGCTCTCCGTTTCGTTCAGCGATTCCAACAGCAGTCTGAAACGCAAATCTGCATTGTTATTGGCCGGAACGTTTCGGTGTTCTACAAGGCTCACCGCGTCGATGCGTTTTCCAACGTTCACTCACTCAGCGCTCGGAGATATTTTGCGGCTCAGATAAGGTTCTGCGATGAAGGGAGCCAGGACAGCGCCTGTACCGAAAACGAAATGGTAGAACTGCAGTATGGATGCGCCTCTCTCTTTCCAGAGGACAATCAGCCAGACATTGGCACCTGCCGAGAGAACGCGCAAGCATGAATACGCGGTCGCGGAAATGTCCGGAACATTAATATGTCGAGGAACACTTGGCGCAAACCAGCGGCGCGTTCTGGAGGTTGCCCCGCGGTTTTACCGATTTCTATGAGGCCTACGCAGGCTCCAAGGACGAAGCACGCCACATGTGTCCATAGTAATGAAGGACACACAGGGACCACCGCCAAAGCGACGCCCCCGATGAATGTACTGGCGAGAACCAGGACCTGCCCGTTTATTTTACTGAAAACGTAGCCGCCTAAAATCGAAACGTAGAGTCAATACTTGTTTCACTTGAGGGAACGAATCATCCTCCCCGGCTCCGTATGGTTATTTTCTCCGCGCGACCCACCAGCTAGGCAAGCGACGATCGAGCCCACAGATCTAGTTGAGATGATGTAAACTACCGAGTCAACGTCCACGTGGTAGATTTCCGCAAGATCGATAAAAGAAACACCGAAGACAGCTATGCATAGCCCCTGAATCGGAGAAGAACGTTTTCGACTATGAGGATCGGTATCCGTTACTGATCCTGGGTTGGGAATGACAGGCTTCCGTCTCTCGACGGGAGTTCCAGACGCGAAGGTGAAGTGAGATGGCTCATACTCACAATGGAGAAGACTCCGATGTTCAAATTGAAAGTTTGAAACCACCGAATGGCCTCAGGGCTAAGAAAAGACTTGGAGATCATCGTTGAGTTGGGGAAAATCGTAGTCGAAATCGTCTGCGTACTCTCCGCTCTGACTTGTGCTCAACTGTTTCCTCGCTGGAGCCCAGAGAGAAGAGCTCCCTCGTCAGGGAACGCGATGATACAAATAGCGGATCGGACCGTGGAACCGAGGGTGTATGTTCCCAATTTTCCCTCTCGATTGGTGTTTTTTTACAGCTACGCAATCCTTTCTCGCGATCTCGTTAGGCAATATTCAGCTTGTCCAGCCGGGCCTATAAAACTTCGCCTCCTCAGAAGTACCTCTGCGTCTGATAAGATACCGAGCTCTTTTTTGCCTCATCCCTACGGGTGAATCCGCCCGCGCTCGAACCGGTCGCGTTCGGACCGCGCCGCGTTCGAAACTGCGTTCTTGGTGAGGGCCCAAACTCGCTCGAGTTTCGGACCCTAGGACCGACGGGATCCGGCGTGCGAGAGTCCCTCGAATTAGTCAGGTCCGAATCGCGTGGCGTCGTGGTTGGGGCGACTCGATCGAACACAGATCCGGATAAATGGGGGAGAAATCTCCATATTCTGCGCTGAAGATCGACGTCGCCAACCAGCTGATTCCCAACTCGTCTTGCCGCTCATCTATATTTGTTGTATTACAATAGCGATAATACTTTACGACCGCAATTATTACATCATAAACCTCCCCGAGGGATAGCCGTGAATCAGCTCGGTGAGGAAAGAGATTTCGTGGCGAGTGTATTTGAAGCGAACTTACCTGTCCATTGAGATTAATGCTTGAACCGGCCAAGTCGACGGAGCCATAGAATTCCCTATTACTATTTCTCAACTACGTGCCGCGACGGCCGTGGCGGGAGGGAGGATCAGCGCGGTCGCTTCTTCGTCCTCTCGGATCGCAACTGTACCTCGGCGCTAGCGATTGACGAACGAAGGTGCTACCTCGTGTTCGCGGACGGCATGAGCGACCATCCGAACTCGTCTGAAGGAACAGGATCCTTCATCAGCGAGTCCCTCTCACGTGAGAATTCGGGGCAGCCGGCAGGGGCGTACGCGAGGGGGGGGGCGGGGGGGGGGGGGGG